AGGAGGAGGAGGAGGAGGAGGAGGAGGAGGAGGAAGAAGAAGAAGAAGTTGAAAAGATCTCCCAAGCTCATGGATCAGTAGGATTAACATAGTAAAAATGGCCATCCTACCAAAAGCAATCTACAGGTTCAATGCAATCCCCATCAAAATTCTAATGCAATTCTTCATAGATTTTCTTTTTCTTTTTTATTTTTTTTCACATAATTCTTTATTGGAGATTTGGAAATTCCACATCATGCACTCCAATCCCACTTACTTCCCAGTCCCTCCATATCTACCCCAGACCCTGCAGCATGCCCCCTCAAATTAATTCAAAACAAAACAAAACAAAAAAACCCACCTCACTCCTCCATCTTTCCACCTCTTCATTCACCCTAGTGGTATCAGGAGCTGCAGTGTGTCACTCAGTCCACCCTTTTGTCCAATCAGCCCCACCCTCGAAATGGTCACTGCAGTGAGTCATTGGTCTGGTTCAAGGCCTCCAGCACACCATCATCACTGGGCCCTCATTGGAACCCCTCTTGTATATCCTGCTGTTACCCCGAGTTATAGAGATCCCATGGCTATCATTCCATGGAACCAGCCCTTTCACACACTGTAGTGGGTCATAGATGAGGTAGATGTCAGGGTGGGCCAACCCAAGGCCTAAGATGTGGGTTTGGGTGGTAGCTGAGCTGGTCAGTTCAGGTCACTGGGACTGCCCCCTCAGGCAAGGAGCAGAGCCAGCGCCACGGGGGCCAGTTCTCCCACACCTGTGGTGAGGGGTAGGGCCATCTCTCCTGAGTACATTTGCATGTGGAATATTACTCTCTCATTTAAAAAAAAAAAGGTGAAATCCTGAAATTCACAGGTAAATGGATGAAACTAGAAAAAGTTATTCTAAGTGAGGTAACCCAGAGCCAGAAAGACAGATATGCTATGTATTCACATCTATGTGGATATTAGCTCTTAAGTCAGTGATAATCAAACTACAATTCATATAACCACAGAGGTTAGGTATAGAGGAAGGGACTGGGGCAAACGACTGATCTTCCTAGGAAGGGGAAATAGATGAGATAGTTACGGATGGATGGGAGGGACTGAAATGGGAGTATTAAACAAGGAGGTGGAGCAGAGGAGGGGATATGAGGAGGGACAGCTAAAACAATAGACATTTGGAAACCTAATACAGTAAAAGATTCCTAAATTAACAAACGTGAAGGTGACCTAAATGAAATCATCAACTAATAGACAAGACAGAGCCCCAGCTGGACATCTCTCATCACCAAACAAAGCTTCAGTAATGAGAATGGTTACATCTAATCAAGTTGTTGACCCAAAGCCTCCCATGGGAACCCCCAAGTAGCCCAAGCTGTTGCAGAGGCTATAGGTTGCTCTTTATACAAACTGACAGTTAAGACCCTGCTACTGAAGACCACACCTATACAACTCACTGAACTGGCGAGGTTGAGCTAGTGCCTAGAGCCTATTGGCTAGTGTTCTTGGTACAGGAAGGTACTCTACATGCTACCAAAGGAGAAACATAACCACCAACACAGCCACAATCCCTTTGATCTGCAATGCTGTCCTGCCTGCAAAACACACCAGTGCAGTAGTGGCACAAAACCCGTGGGAGTAACCAACCAATATCTGCTTTGATTCAAGGCCACCTTTATGATATCTGATGCTGCTTGGGTTACTAATAACCTTCGACTAGATGTACCAGGGACCTAGGGGAAAACCAAATACTACTTACTGTTCTGCTAAAGAAACATAGCAAAAAAATGACTCCTAATGACATTCTGCTAGACTCCTAGATCAGTCACCATCATAGAAGCTGCTTCCTGCCATAGATGGAAATGAATACAGAGACCCACAGCCAGACAATATGCTGAGAGTGAGAGACGATGGAACACTCAGCCCTAATTGGGATGTCTCCATCAAATCCCTCCCCTTGCTGGACAGTGGTGGCACATGCCTTTAATCCTAGCATTTGGGAGGCAGAGCCAGGCGGATCTCTGTGAGTTCAAGGCCAGCCTGGTCTACAAAGCGAGATCCAGGGCAGGCACCAAAACTACATAGAGAAACCCTGTCTCGAAAAACAAAAAACAAAAAACAAAAAACACCAAACCAAATTCCTTCCCTCAGGGCTCAGGAACCCTGTGGAAGAGGAGGCAGAAAGAGTGTAAGAGCCAAGGGGGATAGAGGACACCCAGAAAATAAGTCCTTCTCAACACAGCAGGACTGATGTACACATGAACTCTCAGAGACGGAGGCAGCATGCACAGGTCTGCACAGGTCTGCACAGGTCTGCACAGGTCTGCA